TAGAACACACAGCTCCTCACTACCTCCGCCTCACTCCACGGGGACACAAATCTGCCATCAGTCCCTCCTGCAGCTGAACCCGACTGCCATTCTCTCAGAGCCTCCTCAACCCCAGGGGACTGCATGTCAGTGTGGGGCAGGGCCTCCTCTGCATCCCAGACTCCTTCCTCTCCTCCTCTGTTCCTTCTCATCCCTCCACTCATCCTACCTCTCATGTCCCTGCAATGCCAATTTCTCCCCTCCATGCAGAAACAGATCAACCAATAGAAGCCTCCTCCTCCCCTCTTGTGTTTGATAGCTGACCCTGTGGCTGTCACATACCTGCACTGACAGGAGGTCATCAAGATATTTACCCAACAGATTCTCTCTCAGAGCCACTGTGTGCTCACTCAGCTTACAGTCAGCTGTTCTCTGTGTGCTGTAGAATGGACCCCACGTGAGAACACAGTGCCATTGGGAGGATATCAGAGCCCAGCCACTCACTCAAAAAGGGAAAAGACACTGACTGCTCCTCCCAAGGTGTGACCAGGTGTTCTCTAGAGAAAAGGACTTTCTGATACAGAATCCCAACCTAACCATGAATAGATTATACCATCAGGTAGTTCAGTTCACTTAAATTGTTGGCAAATGTCCATCAGGGACTTTAGGAAGTGACGTCTCCCAGTAGAAGCATACGCACTGCAGGTAAACTTGTGCAGCCCTGGTCTGAGCTGGGGCAGTGGAGACACAGCCCCTGGGCTGAGTTCTGAGCTGCCCTGGGCCCTTCAGCTGGGCACAGCCCTGCCCTGCCCCTGCTCATTTGCATGTCCCCAGAGCACCGCCCACCTTTCTGGGCATTTAGGAGCAGGCTGCTCCTGTCCCATGAAGGAGGCAGTGCCAGGAAGGACCCAGCATGGACACGAGGGCCCCCACTCAGCTGCTGGGGCTCCTGCTGCTCTGGCTCCCAGGTAAGGAAGGCTAGCAGCAGGAACGGCCTCGGGCAGTGTGGCCAGGGCTGCCCGTCTCTGCAGGAGCGTCCTCTTAGAACGTGAGGATGAGTGTGGTCTCTGTGTTTCTGTTTCCCTTCTCAGGTGCCACATTTGCTCAAGTCCAACCCAGACTCCATCCTCCGTGTCTGCAGCTATGGGAGGCACAGTCACCATCAAGTGCCAGACCAGTGAGAGTTTTTATAGTAACAACTGCTTATCCTGGTATCAGCAGAAACCAGGCAGCGTCCCAAGCTCCTGATCTATGAAGCATCCACTCTGGCATCTGGGGTCCCATCTCAGTTCAGCGGCAGTGGATCTGGGACACAGTTCACTCTCACCATCAGTGGCGTGCAGTGTGACGATGTTGCCACTTACTACTGTTAAGGCAGTTATCATAGTAGTGGTTGGTACCACAGTGATACAAGCCCTAACAAAAACCCCCCAGAAAGCAGAAGTATGAGGCTGGGCTGCCCCAGCTGCTGCTCCTGGGCCCCATCTGCTGAGAGTGATTCTCAGAGCAGCCAGGCTTGAAGGTCCTGCAGGGTCGGGTGGAAGGGGCCAGGGTGACTCCTCTGAGGCTCCCTCCTTTCCTCCTCCTGGTGGCAGCAGCACAGACGTGACCATGTCCCTACTGTGCTAAAGGAAACCAATTATTCTGTCTAATTATTCAAAGCCTGAGCATCATTTTAGATTCATCGTGCAAAGGAGAATACATTATAGCTATTACAAGGAAAATATTTTAAATTCTGGGGATTAGAAAATATTATAAAGGATGCCAATTACATATATACAGTTTTTTTAAAAAAATTATTTGTTTATTTAAAGTCCTGTTTTACACACACACACACACACACACACAGTTTCATGGAGAGAGTTCTCCATCTGCTGGTTCACTCCTCCATGGCTGCACAGGATGAGGCTGTGCCTGGCAAGAGCTGGGACGTGGAACTTCTTTCAGGTCTTCCACGTGGGTGCCAGGGCTGAAACACTTGTTCCATCCACTGGTGCTTTCCCAGGCCATTAGCAGGGAGCTCGTTTGGAAGTGGAGCAGCCAGGACTCCCACCAGTGCCCATGTGGGATGCTGGCGCTGAATGCTGTGGCTTTACGCACTGCACAAGGCTGGCCCGTCCTATCCACAGTTGTGAGAGCATAATGTTACTTCCCACCATGTCCCCCCTTCTTCCTCACCTCCACCCTCCTCTCTTTTACCTTTAAGTTTACTTGGACATACGTTCAATTTATTCTCACCAGCTTAACCTTCTGGTAAACAAAGAATTCCACCAGGAGTGAGCAGAAAAACCACTGTTCCTCAAGAGTCTAGACAAGTCTGTGAGTCTCAGTCCTCCCAGTCCCTCTGTCACTACCAGACCTGAGGTGCACTAGCGCCCCCGGAGTCCATGATGGAATCGCATCAGCTTTCAATCAATCACTCATAGGGCAATTTTTCGTTCAATGCAAAATCAGATGGACAATTCTCATGGAAATGAAACAATAGTGGCTTCATTGTGTGTACACAATGGTACACGACTGACAGTATCACAATCTTTTGTTGATGTAGAATAAATGGAAAGAAATTGAATAGAACTCCTTATCTCATAGATCTTTTTTTAGTGATCAGGGCAAATAAGCAAGCATATGTTTTATACCTGCTCCCATGTGCCTCAAGTGAGATTTCTCCCTGGACACTGCCATTGCTGGGGGCATGTGGGCAGTGGGTGTCCAGGTCCACCTAGTGCATCCTGCTGTCTCGGGCGGAGGCAGAGGGGACAAATCAGGCAGTTCCACACTGTGTCTCCTGAAAAGATACACTAATTATAGTCTCAGTAATGGTCAGATGGCCAAATAGTCCTTCCATTGAGGAAAAAGCTTCTTAAATTTCTCAAATTGCTGTAGCATGAAACCAGCCAACACAGAGGTCAGTGGAAGAATCAGTGCCAGACACTGGATGTGAAAATAATGGAGCCCACAGCACTGCGGCACAGCAGGTTAAAGTTATGGCCTGAGGCACCGGCATTCCATATGGAGCTAACTCAAGTCTCAGATGCTCCTCTTTTAATCCAGCTCTCTGCTATGGGCTGGCATAGCAATAGAAGATGGCCCAAGTCTCTGGGCCCCTGAGCCCAGATGGGAGACCCAGAAAAAGCTCCTGGCTCCTGGATTGGGATCGAATCAGCTCTGGCCATTGCAGCCATTTGGGGAGTGAACCAGCAGATGGATGACCTCTCTTCTGTCTTGACTTCTCTCTGTAACTCTTTCAAATAAATGAAATAAATCTTAAAAAAAAACCCTAGATCCCAGTTTTAGCAGGGTGTTTTGTACTGTGGTGAATACTTATTTTTAATAAATATAATTTATATACTTTTTATAAATGATAACATTTTCCATGTTTCAACATATTTATTTACTTGTAAGACTGGGCATTGGAGAGAGGCAAAGCCGGGAAGGAGCGGGGAGTTCTGTAAGCTGGTCTGTCGACAAATGGCTGTAACAGTGAGTTCCTGGCCAAACAGAAGCCCAGAGCCAGAACTGCCCCTCGTCTCCCCTGTGGGGCAGGAATCCAAGAACTTGGGCCATTTTCTGCTGCCTCTCAGGGTGTGCATTAACAGGAAATGGGATCAGAAGTGGAGCAGGAGGATTCAACCCAGTCTCTGATGTAGGCTGCTGGCATTGCAAGTGGCAGCCTTATCCTTGTGCCATGATGCCAGCCTTCCCTCCTCTCCGGATTTCGTTCTTTTTTATTTTATTTGAAAGTCAGTTTACAGTGAGAGGCATAGACAGAGAGAGAGAGAGAGAGAGAGAGAGACAGGTTTCCACACAGTGGTTCATACTCTAGAAGGCTGCAATTGCCGGAGCTGCACTGATCCAAAGACAGGAAACATGAGCTTCTTTCGGGTCTCCCACATGGGTGCAGGGGCCCAAGGACTTGGACCATCTTCTACCGCTATTTCTGGCCTTAGAGGAGTGCTGGATCAGAGGAGAGCAGGCAGGGCTAGAACCAGTGCCCATATGGGATGCTGCCACTTCAGGCCAGTGCTTTAACCCTCTGAGCCACAGTGCTGGCCCCTTCTCCGGATTTCTTAAAAAAATGTGAACATTTCTGGACGGGGGAGAAAGGAAAGTTATTTTTCTGGATGTTTCTCAGAACTATGGAGATTCCTTGAAACTCACACTTCTGTTTCCCCTTGCATCCTTGACTCAGAACTCTGGCTGCAGATGAGAGAGCGCACAAGTGTGATCTCTCCTCTAAGCACCTGCATTCTCTTTCTGAGTCCTGGTCTCTTTCTGGCAGCTGCTTATTCTGAGGATGCTTATTCTGATCAGTTTCAGAGCTGAGTGTGGGACAGAAGTTTCATCTCTCAGAGACCATCTCTCAGGTGCAGTGGTCTGCCTCGAGGGGACGGTGTGAGGGCATCAGAGGACAAACAGGTAAAGACACTGACCTCAGCCTTAAAGTGTTCACTATTCATTGGAAAAGCGACTTTCTCCTCCAGAATCCCAATGTAATCATGAATAGCTTACACTATCTTGTCTTCCAGGTCATTTAAAGTATTTGAAAGTGTCCCTCAGTGACTCTGGGATGTGATGTCTCCCAGTAGAAGCATGTGCACTGCAGGCAAACTTGTGCAGCCCTGGTTTGAGCTGGGTCAGCTGGAGGATGAGTGTGGTCTCTGTGTCTCTGTTTCCCTCCTCAGGTGCCACATTTGCCCAAGCCGTGCTGACCCATACTCCATCCCCTGTGTCTTCATCTGTGGGAGGCACAGTCACCATCAATTGCCAGTCCAGTCAGAGTGTTAATAGTAACAACTGGTTATCTTGGTATCAGCAGAAACCAGGGCAGCCTCCCAAGCTCCTGATCTATCTGGCATCCACTCTGGCATCTGGGGTCCCAAATAGATTCAAAGGCAGTGGATCTGGGACACAGTTCACTCTCACCATCAGCAGCGTGCAGTGTGACGATGCTGCCACTTACTATTGTCTAGGCGGTTATAGTAGTAGTGCTGATTCCACAGTGATACAAGCCCTAAAAATAACCCCCAGGAAAGCAGAAGTGTGAGGCTGGGCTGTCCCAGCTGCTCCTCCTGGGACCCATCTGCTGAGAGTGATTCTCAGAGCAGCCAGGCTTGAAGGTCCTGCAGGGTCGGGTGGAAGGGGCCAGGGTGACTCCTCTGAGGCTCCCTCCTTTCCTCTTCCCAAGTCAGGTTAATTGGCTGGTGATGATTCTTCCCTCTACTCACCTGGATGATGGCCAGTAGGTATGGGAGCAATGGAATTATCATCTTGGCGAGTCAGTTCAACCAAGGGGGTTGATGGGGTTGGCGGTGGCCTTCCAGGTGTTCTCAGCCACAGGAAAAGAGGGAGTTGTTTTAGGTGGGTATAGACCGCCACCTGGCGTCAGAGGGGAGATTGACAAAAATCCCAAAACAAACCCTGGCAAACTGCTTCTGGGGAGGCAGCTTCTTCTAGGAACTGGACCTTCCCATCGTCTCCTTCACATGCCACAAATCAGTAAACTCTCCTTTGAGCAACTTCAGTCGAGCCTGTTGAGTGACACCCCAAGTGAGAAGACCTCTTGTGTCTGCTAACTCCCCTTGTCTGCTAGCTCCCACGCTTTCCTGTCCATCTGCCTTCCACCATGGGTGATGCACCACCAAGATCCTTGCCAAATGCTGCTCCCAGGAGCTGGGACATGTGAGCCTCAAGAGCTGGAGGCCAAGTACATTTCTGTCCAGCAGCAGTTATTCCGTCTGGGGTAATATGCTACAGCAATACACAATGCATGGGCAACGCTCACACTCATGCTTAAGAGAGCGTGCATTCCAGCTCTGGTTCTGATGAGGATTCCCTTTTAAAATTTCAGATCCTGAAAGCAAAACTGCTGATGCAGCCCTGGAGCAGAGGTGTAATAAGCTCAGAAGAGTCCAAGAATCAGGGTCCTGAAGAACAAGTTGCATCTTTTGGAACAACTACAAGAGGGATGCTGGCGCTGCATACCGGGGCTTCACTCAGTGCACAAGGCCAGGCCATCCTATCCAGAGTGGTGAGAGCATAATGCTACTTCCCACCATGTCCTCCCTCCTTCCTCATTCCCATACCCACTACTCTTCTATTTTGTTTTAAGGTCTACACTGACATACTTTCACTCTATAATCACCAGCTTCTCCCTCCACTAAACAAAGAATTCAACCCGGAGTAGCACAAAAACCACTGTTCCTCAAGAGTCTTATCAAGGTGTGAGTCTCTTCCTCCCAATCCCTCTGTCACTACCAGACCTGAGGAGCACTGGCGCCCCCTGGGGGTCACGTTTGAAATCGTGTCTGCTTTCAATCCCTGCTTGAGCAGTTCTTCATTCAATTCAAAATGAAATAGCAAATTCTCACCGAATTGAACCAATAGTAGCATCATTGTTTGCACACAGTGGCTCACAACAAACAGTATCACAATCTCCTAGGCATAGAATAATTGTAAAACTCACACAGAGCCCTTCATGTCATAGATCTCTCATTTTAGTGGGCAGGGCAGATAAAAAACAAACATATAACGTTCTACACCTGCTCCCACTCTGGTCCATGTGAGAGGCCTCCCCTGGACACTGCCATTGCTCGGGCAGGTGGACAGTGGGTGTCCAGGTCCACCTAGTGCATCCTCCTGTGTTGGGGCAGAAGCAGAGGGAACGAATCTGGCAGTTCCACACTGTGTTTCCTGAAAAGATACACTAATTGTAGTCTCAGTAATGGTCAGATGGCCAAATAGCCCTTCAATTGAGGAAATAGATTCTTAAATTTCTCAAATTGCTGTAGCATGAAAGCAGGAAACACAAGGGCAGTGGAAGAATCAGTGCTCAGACACTGGATGTAAAAATAATGGAACCAATTTTAGCAGGGTGTCTTGTACTGTGGTGAATACTTATTTCTAATAAAAATAATGTTCTTAAATGTTAACATTTTCCATTTTTCAAATATGTATATATATATATATATATACTTGTAAGACTGAGAATTGACGAGAGGCAAAGACAGAGGGGGAGAGAGAGAGAGAGAGACAGAGACAGAGAGAGAGAGAGAATGTCTGTAACCTGGTGCATCCCCAAACGGCTGTAGCTGTGAGTTCCTGGCCAAGCAGAAGCCCAGAGCTAGATCTGCCCCTGGGTCTCCCCTGTGGGGCAGGAATCCAAGAACTTGGGCCATTTTCTGCTGCCTCCCAGGTGTGCATTAGCTGGACATGGGATCAGAAGTGGAGCAGTGGGGATTCAAACCTGACTCTGATGTAGGCTGCTGGCTTTGCAAGTGGCAGCTTTATCCACTGTGCTGCAAAACCAGCCTTAACTCCTCTCCAGATTTTCTTAAGAAAAACGTGAAAGTGTCTGGACAGAGGTGAGAAGAAAGTTTTTCTGATGTGCCGGAGGCCAGCTCCAGGAGATTCAGGGGTTCCCGATGGTTTGGAAGGCATCTGCATAGGGAGGAATGAGAGACGTGCTCACAACAAGGCTGTTAGTTTTACACATTCTTGACTATTCTCATAAATTCTGTAATGTCCACTCATTAGTGATCTTATAGAGATAATGATTCTTCTTTACGATAACACAGCCTATTTCCCATCCACTTTAAACCATTGACTTTGTATTATGTGTAACCCCTCCCCCATCTGGATTTCCATAGCCATGTAACAATTTCTTTGAGTACAAAGATTTACTTGATATTTGAGATACAATAGAACAGAGACTCAAAGTGATGCTAAAGTATATAATAATCGATTACAAAAAATATAGTGGTTATTTTGCAAAGAATCAGAACGTCTACTTATAATAATTGATTACAAAGATTGGAACATCTACCTTTTAATTTAACTGTACTAGTTTTTAATCATTAACACCCTACTCAAACAAACCTGTTCATTATATACGTCCTTTCCATAACCCTTCACTACTATTAGTTTCAGTAACTCATTCAAGACTCGCTCACTGATTTTGGTAATTACTTTATGTCCTTCCCACCAGGCCACACAAACTCAGGCACTTACCACTATTTGTGTTTCTCTCAGACACTTAAATTGTTAACTCTCATTTACCAGTCATTAGTCTATGATGAGACACTCTCAAGTGGATTATAGCAGAGACTGAAGACCTTCCCCAAGGACCCTCTCATCCCTAAATCAGGTCTAACTGCGTCCCACAAGCCCTGCAGTTTGAGTTCTAGGCTTTTACTGCAGGTAACTGAAGCATCGGAGAGGGTTGAATTCCTCTAGGAGGACCCAGTCCATCAACAGCTCAGCTGTCAGTGAGGTCATTTGGAGCAGAGGCCGATTCTCAGAGATTTCCCAGAATGTAGGATCATCAGCGAGATCACCAGGAAACTCTGGCATTTTGTATCAATAAACCTAAAACCAGCAAGAGGCCTGCAGCTTGTTGTTCTCACACCCACGGAGACAGACTCCTGCTGAGACCTTGCAGACAGCCAGAGTGGCCTTGGCCTCTTCTGATGTTCCTCAGACCTCTGGTGACTCCTTGAACTCGCACTTCTGTTTTCCTCCTGCATCCTTGACTCAGAACTCTGGCTGCAGATGGGAGAGCCCACCTGTGTGATCTCTCCTCTAAGCACCTGTGTTCTCCTTCTGAGTCCTGCTCTCTCTCTGGCAGTCACTTTTTCTGAGGATGTTTATTCTGAGTCAGTACAGAGCTGAGTGTGGGACAGAAGTCTCGTCTCTCAGAGACCATCTCCCTGGTGCAGCGGTCTGCCGTGAGGGGACAATGTGAGGGCATCAGAAAACAAACAGGTAAAAACAATGAAATCAGCTTTAAGGTGTAACTCAGTATTCCCTATAAAATGGGTTTTCTCCTCCAAAATCCCAATAACCATGAATACATTACACCATATTGTCCTCCAGTTCACTTAAATTGTTTGCAACTGTCCCTCAGTGACTTTGGGTTGTGACGTCTCCTGGTAGAAACATGTGCAGTACAGGCAAACTTGTGCAGCCCTGGTCTGAGCTGGGGCAGCTGGAGACACAGCCCCTGGGTGAGTTCTGAGCTGCCCTGGGCCCTTCAGCTGGGCACAGCCCTGCCCCGCCCCTGCTCATTTGCATGTCCCCAGAGCACCGCCCACCTCTCTGGGCATTTAGGAGCAGGCTGCTCCCACCACATGCAGGAGGCAGTGCCAGGCAGGACCCAGCATGGACACGAGGGCCCCCACTCAGCTGCTGGGGCTCCTGCTGCTCTGGCTCCCAGGTAAGGAAGGCCAGCAGCAGGAACGGCCTCGGGCAGTGTGGCCAGGACTGCCCGTCTCTGCAGGAGCATCCTCTAAGAATGTGAGGATGAGTGTGGTCTCTGTGTTCTGCTTCCCTTCTCAGGTGCCACATTTGCAGCCGTGCTGACCCAGACACCATCACCCGTGTCTGCAGCTGTGGGAGGCACAGTCACCATCAGTTGCCAGTCCAGTCAGAGTGTTTATAATAACAACGACTTAGCCTGGTATCAGCAGAAACCAGGGCAGCCTCCTAAGCTCCTGATCTACAGGGCATCCAAACTGGCATCTGGGGTCCCATCACGGTTCAGCGGCAGTGGATCTGGGACACAGTTCACTCTCACCATCAGCGGCGTGCAGTGTGACGATGCTGCCACTTACTACTGTCTAGGCGGTTATGATGATGATGCTGATACCACAGTGATACAAGCCCTAACAAAAACCCCTCAGGAAAGCAGAAGTGTGAGGCTGGGCTGCCCCAGCTGCTCCTCCTGGCCCCATCTGCTGAGAGAGATTCTCAGAGCAGCCAGGCTTGAAGGTCCTGCAGGGTCAGGTGGAAGGGGCCAGGGTGACTCCTCTGAGGCTCCCTCCTTCCTCCTCCTTGGCGGCAGCATCACAGAGATGACCATGTCCCTACTGTTTTAAGGAGGGCAATTATTCTTTACAAGTATTTTAAGCTAGAGCATCATTTGAGATTCATGGAACAAAAGAGAGAACACTATAAGTATTACAAGGAAAATACTGTAAATACAGGTGATTATAAAATTTTAGGAAAGAAACCAATTTCATATCTACTGTTATTTAAAAATGTATTTTCTGTTTGAAAGTCTGTGTTTTACACACACACACAGCCCCACACACACAGTTTCATAGAGCGAGTTCCCTTCCATCTGCTGGTCTCTCCCCCAATGGCTGCAGTGGCTGAGGCAGTGCCTGGCAAGAGCTGGAGATGGAGCTTCTCTCAGGTCTCCCACATGGGTGCCAGGACTCCAACATTGGAGCCATCTACAGGAGCTTTCCCAGGCCAAGCAGGGAGCTGGATTGGAAGTGGAGCAGCCAGGACTCCCACTGGTGCCCATGTGGATGCTGGTGCTGACTTTGGTCATTGTAACCACTACACAAAGCCCGCAATCATATCCACTGTTGCGAGAGCATAATGCAACATCCCACCAGATCCTTACTCCCATCCTCACTCCTCTTCTTTTTCTTTTAAGTTTTACATGGACACACGTTCAATTTATTACCACCAGCTTAACCTTCCAGTAAACAAAGAGCTCAGCGATGAGTGAGCAGAAAACCACTTTTCCTCAAGAGTCTAGACAAGGCTGTGAGTGTCTTTTTTTTTAACTTTTATTTAATGAATACAAATTCCCAAAGTACAGCTTATGGATTACAATGGCTTCCCCCGCCCCCATAACGTCCCTCCCACCCACAACCCTCCCCTTTCCCACTCCCTCTCCCCTTCCATTCACATCAAGATTCATTTTCGATTCTCTTTATATACAAAAGATCAGTTTAGCATACATTAAGTAAAAATTTCTACAGTTTGCTCCCACACAGAAACATAAAGTGAAAAATACTGTTTGAGTACTAGTTATAGCATTAAATCTCAATGTACAGCACACTAAGGACAAAGATCCTACATGAGCAGTAAGTGCACAGTGACTCCTGTTGTTGACTTAACAAACTGACACTCTTGTTTATGGCATCAGTAATCACCCTAGGCTCTTGTCATGAGCTGCCAAGGCTATGGAAGCCCCCTGAGTTCACTGACTCTGATCATATTTAGACAAGGCCATGGTCAAAGTGGAAGTTCTCTCCTCCCTTCAGAGAAAGGTACCTCCCGCTTTGATGACCCGTTCTTTCCACTGGGATCTCACTCCAGAGATCTTTCATTTAGGTTTTTTTTTTCTCCAGAGTGTCTTGGCTTTCCATGCCTGAAATACTCTCATGGGCATTTCAACCGGATCTGCATGCCTTAAGGGCTGATTCTGAGGCCAGAGTGCTGTTTAGGACATCTGCCATTCTATGGGTCTGCTGTGTATCTCACTTCCCATGTTGGATCATTCTCTCCCATTTTTATTCTATCAGCTAGTATTTGCAGACACTATTCTTCTTTATGTGATCCCTTTGGTTCTTAGTCCTATCATTATGATCAATTGTGAACAGAAATTGATCACTGGGACTAGTGAGATGGCATTGGTACATGCCACCTTGATGGGACTGAATTGGAATCCCCTGGTATGTTTCTAACTCTACTGTTTGAGGTAAGTCAGCCTGAGCATGTCCCGAATTGCACATCTCTTCCCTCTCTTACTCCCACTCTTATATTTAACAGCGATCACTTTTCAGTTAAGTTTCAGCACTTAAGAGGAATTGTGTATTGATTACAGTATTCAACCAAAAGTATTAAGTAGAACAAACAAAAAAATACTAAGAGGGATAACATATTAAGTTGCTCATCAACAGTCAGGGTGAGGGCTGATCAAGTCACCGTTTCTCATGGTGTTCATTTCACTTTAACAGGTTTCCTTTTTGGTGCTCAGTTAGTTGTCACCTATCAAGGAGAACAAGTGGTATTTGTCCCTTTGGGATTGGCTTATTTCACTTAGCATAATGTTTTCCAAATGCCTAACAGGGATCACTTTTCAGTTAAAATTTAAACACCTAAGAATAATTGTGTGTTAATTACAGAGTTCAACCAATGGTACTAGAACAAAAAAAATACTAAAATGAATAAAGTATTACATTGTACATCAACCGTCAGTGACTTGATCAGCTCCTGTCCTGACGGTTGAAGGCTGCGAGTTTCAATCCTCCCAAACCCTTTGAAACTACCAGACCTGAGGTGCACTGGCTCCCCCTGGGGGTCACAGGTGGAATCGCGACAGTTTTCAATCCCTTATTGAGCAATTCTTCATGCAGTCCAAAATCAAATAGAAAATTCTCATCGATTTGAATCAATAGTAGCTTCATTGTTTCTCAGAACTGCACATGACTAACAGTATCACAGTCTCCTAGGCATAGAATAATTGTAAAAAGTTGAGCAGAGCCCTTCATCTCATAGATCTCTCATTTTGTGGGCAGGGCAGATAAGAAACAAACATATAACGTTCTACACCCCTTCCCACTCTGCTCCACGCGAGATTCCTCCCCAGGAGGACTGCCATTGCTCGGGGCAAGCGGGCAGTGGTTGTCCAGGTCCACGTAGTGCATCCCCCTGTGTCGGGGGGCAGAGGCAGAGGCAGAGGGATCTTATCGTGCAGTTCAATATTTGTGTTCCATGAAAAAATAAAATAACTGTAGTCTCAGTAATGGTCAGATGGCCAAACTGACCTTTCATTGAGGAAAAAGGTTTTAAATTTCTGAAATTACTGAGGAATGAAACCAGCCAACACACAGGTCAGTGGAAGAATCAGTGCCCAGGGTGCTGGCTCTGTGATCTAGCAGGTCAAGCCACTGCCTGTAGTGCCGGCATCCCATATGGGTGCTGTTTCAAGTCCTGGCTGCTTCCTCAGATCCGGCTCTCTGCTGTGGCCTGGGAAAGCAGTAGAAGATGGCCCAAGTCCTTGGGCTCTTAACCTGCATAGGAGAGCTGAAGAAAGCTCCTGGCTCCTGGCTCCTTGAACCTGGCACAGCACACCAGATGTAGCAGCCATTTGGGGGGTGAACCAACAGAAGGAAGACCTTTCTCTCTATATATCTCTCTCTCACTGTTTAACTCTGCCTGTCCAAAATAATAATAATAATAATAATAATAATAATAATACAGGATCAAGCCCAGGATAGGGTAGAACACACAGCTCCTCACTACCTCCGCCTCACTCCACGGGGACACAAATCTGCCATCAGTCCCTCCTGCAGCTGTGCCCCCAACTGCCATTCTCTCAGAGCCTCCTCAACCCCAGGGGACTGCATGTCAGTGTGGGGCAGGGCCTCCTCTGCATCCCAGACTCCTTCCTCTCCTCCTCCATCCCTTCTCATCCCTCCACTCAGTCCTACCTCTCATGTCCCTGCAATGCCAATTTCTCCCCTCCATGCAGAAACAGATCAACCAATAGAAGCCTCCTCCTCCCCTCTTGTGTTTGATAGCTGACCCTGTGGCTGTCACATACCTGCACTGACAGGAGGTCATCAAGATATTTACCCAACAGATTCTCTCTCAGAGGCACTGTGTGCTCGCTCAGCTTACAGTTAGCTGTACTCTGTGTGCTGTAGAATGGACCCCACGTGAGAACACAGTGCCATTGGGAGGATATCAGAGCCCAGCCACTCACTCAAAAAGGGAAAAGACACTGACTGCACCTCCCAAGGTGTGACCAGGTGTTCTCTAGAGAAAGGACTTTCTGCTACAGATCCCCACCTAACCATGAATATATTACACCATCAGGTAGTTCAGTTCACTTAAAGGGTTGGCAATGTCCTTCAGTGACTTTGGGAGGTGACATCTTCCGGTAAAAGCATGCACACTGAAGATACACTTGTGACGCCCTGGTCTGAGCTGGGACAGCTGGAGACACAGCCCCTGGGCTGAGCTCTGAGCTGCACTGGGCCCTTCAGCTGGGCACAGCCCTGCCCCGCCCCTGCTCATTTGCATGTCCCCAGAGCACCGCCCACCTCTCTGGGCATTTAAGAGCAGGCTGCTCCCACCCCATGCAGGAGGCAGTGCCAGGCAGGACCCAGTATGGACACGAGGGCCCCCACTCAGCTGCTGGGGCTCCTGCTGCTCTGGCTCCCAGGTAAGGAAGGCCAGCAGCAGGAACGGCCTCGGGCAGTGTGGCCAGGGCTGCCCGTCACTGCAGGAGCGTCCTCTAGAATGTGAGGATGAGTGTGGTGTCTGTGTTTCTGTTTCCCTTCTCAGGTGTCACATTTGCCCAAGGGCCAACCCAGACTCCATCCTCCGTGTCTGCAGCTGTGGGAGGCACAGTCACCATCAATTGCCAGACCAGTGAGAGTTTTTATAGTAACAACATCTTATCCTGGTATCAGCAGAAACCAGGGCAGCCTCCCAAGCTCTTGATCTATGATGCATCCACTCTGGCATCTGGGGTCCCATCGCGGTTCAAAGGCAGTGGATCTGGGACACAGTTCACTCTCACCATCAGCGACGTGCAGTGTGACGATGCTGCCACTTACTACTGTCAAGGCAGTTATCATAGTAGTGGTTGGTACCACAGTGATACAAGCCCTAACAAAAACCATCCAGGAAAGCAGAAGTGTGAGGCTGGGCTGTCCCAGCTGCTCCTCCTGGGCCCCATCTGCTGAGAGTGATTCATAGAGCAGCCAGGCTTGAAGGTCCTGCAGGGTCTGTTTGAAGGAGCCAGGCTGACTTCTCTGAGGCTCCCTCCTTTCCTCCTCCTTGGCGGCAGCAGCACAGATGTGACCATGTCCCTACTGTTCTAAAGGAAACCAATTATTCTGTCTGATTATTCAAAGCCAGGGTGCCAGGGCTGAAGCACTTGTTCCACCCGCTGGTGCTTTCCCAGGCCAGTAGCAGGGAGCTCGTTTGGAAGTGGAGCAGCCAGGGCTCCCACCAGTGCTCATGTGGGATGCTGGTGCTGAACGCGGTGGCTTTACCCACTGCACAAGCCCAGCCCGTCCTATCCACAGTTGTGAGAGCATAATGTTACTTCCCACCATGTCCCCCCTTCTTCCTCACCTCCACCCTCCTCTCTTTTACCTTTAAGTTTTACTTGGACATACGTTCAATTTATTCCCACCAGCTTAACCTTCTGGTAAACAAAGAATTCCACAAGGAGCGAGCAGAAAAAACACTGTTCCTCCAGGATCTACACAAGGCTGTGAGTCTCAATCCTCCCAGTCCCTCTGTCACTACCAGACCTGAGGTGCACTAGCGCCCCTGGGAGTCCATGATGGAATCACATCAGCTTTCAATCCCTGATAGGACAGTTTTTCATTCAATGCAAAATCAGATAGACAATTCTCATCGAAATGAAACAATAGTGGCTTCATTGTGTGTACAAATGGTACACGACTGATAGTATCACAATCTTTTGTTGATGTAGAATAAATGGAAAGAAATTGAATAGAACTCCTTATCTCATAGATCTTTTTTTAGTGATCAGGGCAAATAAGCAAGCATATGTTTCATACCTGCTCCCATGTGCCTCAAGTGAGATCCTCCCTGGACACTGCCATTGCTGGGGGCACGTGGTCAGTGGGTGTCCAGATCCACCTAGTGCATCCTGCTGTCTCGGGCACAGGCAGAGTTAGAGGCAGAGGGGACAAATCAGGCAGTTCCACACTGTGTCTCCTGAAAAGATACACTAATTGTAGTCTCAGTAATGGTCAGATGGCCAAATAGTCCTTCCATTGAGGAAAAAGCTTCTTAAATTTCTCAAATTGCTGTAGCATGAAACCAGCCAACACAGAGGTCAGTGGAAGAATCAGTGCCAGACACTGGATGTAAAAATAATAGAGCCCACAGCACTGCGGCACAGCAGGTTAAAGTTATGGCCTGAAGCACCGGCATTCCATATGGCGTGGACTCAAGTCTCAGATGCTCCTCTTTTAATCCAGCTCTCTGCTATGGGCTGGCATAGCAATAGAAGATGGCCTAAGTCTCTGGGCCCCTGAACCCAGATGGGAGACCCAGAAAAAGCTCCTGGCTCCTGGATTGGGATCGAATCAGCTCTGGCCATTGCAGCCATTTGGGGAGTGAACCAGCAGATGGAAGCCCTCTCTTTCTGTCTTGACTTCTCTCTGTAACTCTTTCAAATAAATGAAATAAATCTTAAAAAAACCCTAGATCCCAGTTTTAGCAGGGTGTTTTGTACTGTGGTGAATACTTATTTTTAATAAATATAATTTATATACTTTTTATAAATGATAACATTTTCCATGTTTCAACATATTTATTTACTTGTAAGACTGGGCATTGGAGAGAGGCAAAGCCGGGAGGGAGTGGGGAGTTCTGTAAGCTTGTCTATCGACAAATGGCTGTAACAGTGAGTTCCTGGCCAAACAGAAGCCCAGAGCCAGAACTGCCCCTGGTCTCCCCTGTGGGAAAGGAATCCAAGAACTTGGGCCATTTTCTGCTGCCTCTCAGGGTGTGCATTAGCAGAAATAGGGATCAGAAGTGGAGCAGTGGGGATTCAACCCAGTCTCTGATGTAGGCTGCTGGCATTGCAAGTGGCAGCCTTATCCTTGTGCCATGATGCCAGCCTTCCCTCCTCTCCGGATTTCGTTCTTTTTTATTTTATTTGAAAGTCAGTTTACAGTGAGAGGCATAGACAGAGAGAGAGAGAGAGAGAGGTTTACACACAGTGGTTCATACTCTAGATGGCTGCAATTGCCGGAGCTGCACTGATCCAAAGACAGGAAACATGAGCTTCTTTCGGGTCTCCCACATGGGTGCAGGGGCCCAAGGACTTGGACCATCTTCTACCGCTATTTCTGGCCTTAGAGGAGTGCTGGATCAGAGGAGAGCAGGCAGGGCTAGAACCAGTGCCCATATGGGATGCTGCCACTTCAGGCCAGTGCTTTAACCCTCTGAGCCACAGTGCTGGCCCCTTCTCCGGATTTCTTAAAAAAAATGTGAACATTTCTGGACAGGGGAGCAAGCAAAGTTATTTTTCTGGATGTTTCTCAGAACTATGGAGATTCCTTGAAACTCAAACTTCTGTTTTCCTCTTGCATCCTTGACTCAGAACTTTGGCTGCAGATGAGAGAGCGCACAAGTGTGATCTCTCCTCTAAGCACCTGCATTCTCTTTCTGAGTCCTGGTCTCTTTCTGGCAGCCGCTTATTCTGAGGATGCTTATTCTGATCAGTTTCAGAGCTGAGTGTGGGACAGAAGTTTCATCTCTCAGAGACCATCTCCCTGGTGCGGTGGTCTGCCTCGAGGGGACGGTGTGAGGGCATCAGAGGACAAACAGGTAAAGACACTGACCTCAGCCTTAAAGTGTTCACTATTCATTGGAAAAGCGACTTTCTCCTCCAGAATCCCAATGTACATGAATAGCTTACACTATCTTGTCTTCCAGGTCATTTAAAGTATTTGAAAGTGTCTCTCAGTGACTCTGCGATGTGATGTCTCCCAGTAGAAGCATGTGCACTGCAGGCAAACTTATGCAGCCCTGGTTTGAGCTGGGTCAGCTGGAGGATGAGTGTGGTCTCTGTGTCTCTGTTTCCCTCCTCAGGTGCCACATTTGCCCAAGCCGTGCTGACCCATACTCCATCCCCTGTGTCTTCATCTGTGGGAGGCACAGTCACCATCAATAGCCAGTCCAGTCAGAGTGTTAATAGTAACAACTGGTTATCTTGGTATCAGCAGAAACCAGGGCAGCCTCCCAAGCTCCTGATCTATCTGGCATCCACTCTGGCATCTGGGGTCCCAAATAGGTTCAAAGGCAGTGGATCTGGGACACAGTTCACTCTCACCATCAGCGGTGTGCAGTGTGACGATGCTGCCACTTACTATTGTCTAGGCGGTTATAGTAGTAGTGCTGATTCCACAGTGATACAAGCCCTAAAAATAACCCCCCAGGAAAGCAGAAGTGTGAGGCTGGGCTGTCCCAGCTGCCCCTCCTGGGCCCCATCTGCTGAGAGTGATTCTCAGAGCAGCCAGGCTTGAAGGTCCTGCAGGGTCAGGTGGAAGGGGCCAGGGTGACTCCTCTGAGGCTCCCTCCTTTCCTCTTCCCAAGTCAGGTTAATTGGCTGGTGATGATTCTTCCCTCTACTCATCTGGATGATGGCCAGTAGGTATGGGAGCAATGGAATTATCATCTTGGCGAGTCAGTTCAACCAAGGGGGTTGATGGGGTTGGCGGTGGCCTTCCAGGTGTTCTCAGCCACAGGAAAAGAGGGAGTTGTTTTAGGTGGGTATAGACCGCCACCTGGCGTCAGAGGGGAGATTGACAAAAATCCCAAAACAAACCCTGGCAAACTGCTTCTGGGGAGGCAGATTCTTTTAGGAACTGGACCTTCATATTGTCTCCTTCACATGCCACAAATCAGTAAACTCTCCTTTGAGCAACTTCAGTCGAGCCTGTTGAGTGACACCCCAAGTGAGAAGACCTCTTGTGTCTGCTAACTCCCCTTGTCTGCTGGCTCCCACGCTTTCCTGTCCATCTGCCTTCCACCATGGGTGATGCACCACCAAGATCCTTGCCAAATGCTGCTCCCAGGAGCTTGGACATGTGAGCCTCTAGAGCTGGAAGCCAAGTACATTTCTGTCCAGCAGCAGTTATTGCGTCTGGGGTAATATGCTACAGCAATACACAATGCATGGACAACGCTCACACTCATGCTTAAGAGATCCTGCATTCCAGCTCTGGTTCTGATGAGGATTCCCTTTTAAAATTTCAGATCCTGAAAGCAAAACTGCTGATGCAGCCCTGGAGCAGAGGTGTAATAAGCTCAGAAGAGTCCAAGAATCAGGGTCCTGAAGAACAAGTTGCATCTTTTGGAACAACTACAAGAGCTTCTGGATTTCTGTTTCGAAGCTCATGCTTTGCTGATAACACTCTTGCACCTTTGGTTTCAGATCTTTATTTAGATTTATTTACTTTTTAATAAGAGCTGTGTGTCTCGGGGCTGGTGTTGTGGCATAGCAAGTAAAGCCACCACCTGTGACGCTAGCATTCCATGTGGATGCCAGCTCCTGTCTCGGCTGCTCCTTTTCCATCCAGCTCCCTGCTAATGTGCCTGGGAAAGCAGCAGAAGATGGACCAAGTGAGTCAGCACCTGCATCCCCATGGAAGACCTGGTTCCTGGCATTAGCCTGGCCCAGCCCTGGCCATCGAGGTCATTTGTGGGAGTGAACCAGTGGGTGGAAGATCCCTTTCTTTCTGTCTCTCCCTCTCTTTCTCTGTAACTCTGCCTTTCAAATAATTAAAATAAATCTTAAACAACAACAACTGTGTGTCTTTCCTTTTTGGTCTCATCCTTGGTAGGCAGTACCACTCCCAGTTAAAGTCTGACTTACTTAGGTTAGATGTCCTTTATTCTAGCGAAATGAAGAATATTTAGATGTATGTCAATGCATTTTTTGTTTAGACCGATGCATTAAAAGTGGATTTATAATTTAGTACTTTCTCAGAAGAAACCATGCTGTAAGTAGACATTGAATTACGTGGCCAGCTCCCAAAGACCCATTCAATGCATAGAGTACCTTCTGGTATTACCTAACTGCAGGGCAGTTTCTAACATGATCAGCCGGCAGCATTTTAGACAAGATAGATAAAGGAAATTACCTTTATGATTTTGGGGGTAAAGTGAGGTTTCTGGAACAGGAAACAAAAAGCATGCATTTTAGAGAGACAAGATGCTTTTCATAATCCACCCGACTCCCTGACAGTTGGAGAGCTGGATCCCAAATCATCACCATCACCATCATCAGCAACAGTTTTCTTATTTACACAGTGATTTACTGCTTCAGAGCACTTTTCCATACTTTATTCCGTTTACAGCTTCTAACAAATTTGGCTTAAACAAGAGGGGGCTGAGGCTCAGAGAGAGATGACTCATCTTCTGAGATCCCACAGTCACACGGGCGCAGAGCTGGGATTTGACCCCAGGATCATCCAGTGCTCACCTTCACCACAGCAGAACCCTGACTTCCAGGTCAAGAACCAGCTCATTTTGGCAGCACTGATCCCGCGAGAACTGCTTGATTTTCTGCTCAGTGTCCTGCACCGCGCCTCCTTCCATGCTCTGTGAGGTTGAAGGTTGTGCCACGGTGGCACGCGCTGTGTCCAAGGGTCTCTTACGGATCTTGGGAGGGTTCCATCTGCAGGACCAGGATGCTCCTGGCATTGAATCCACTCTGCTTTACCCAGAACTGAAAGGGGCGCCTCCCAGACTTTCTTCAAGGGGCTGAAGGACTGCAGAAAGGGGTAGAGAGAGGGGCGGACGTTTCCCCTTCTGTTTGCACCCTCCGTGGGCTGCTTTCGCCTCACAAGTCAGCTCTGAACCAGCTGCAGGTGAAAACTGAGCTCGTTTCCACCTTTAACGTTTAAACTGGAACCAAGACTTCTCTGGAGTTTGCTCTTCCTGTTGAATGCTGCCTAGACAAGGAGCTGAGAGACAGTTCAGGTGTCCACTAGGGCCTCCCACAAAGTGTCCTCCTGGGACCTTCCCAGAATACCCTGGAGGTCATCTCCTGCTGAAGCCAGGGGGTGCTGACTGCACAAGGATCAGGGGCCCAGTGGTTTGCGCTGAACAAGAAGGGTCTTGGGGCTTGGAATCGACTGAGATCTTTATTTTCAAAGAGCAAAGCCATGTGTCCCCTTCCTTGTTTATTTCTTTATATCTAGGTGAGCCATTACCTCATAGGGTGGAGGGCGTCTTTCAAAAGGTGTTTTTGAGGCTGGGGGAGGGGCAGGTGTGTGGTGCAGTGGTGAGTTGCTGTCTGGGATGCCCACATCCCATCCCAGAGTCCATGGCTTCAAGCATTGGCTCTGATTCCAGTTCAGCTTCCAGCTAATCATCTCCCTGGCAGCAGATGATGGCTCAAGTACTTGAGTCTTTCCACACCAGAGAATGGGATTGAGTTCTAGGCTCCTGGCTTCAGCCTGGCACAGTCCTGATGGTTGCAGGCATTTGGTGAGTGAACCAGTGGATGGAAGATCTCTGCCTCTCTGCCTTTCGAATAAAATGAAATGATAATCAATCAATAAATAATCATCTACAGAGGTTCCTGTATTGTCCAGGGCTTTGCTTTTTTCTTCTTCTCATGACTTCCTTTTAAAAAGCAAAGGATAATATGGTGAATACCCATTGACCTTAAAATGCCTCAATTGGGTGGGTGGGAGAGTGGTTATGGTTGGAACAATCACTATATTCCTAAAGTTGTACATATGAAATTTGTGTTCCTTAAATAAAAGGTTTATTTTTGAAAAGAATACCTCAGTTAGAGGCTGGGACTGTGGAGCAGCATGAAAGGCCACTGCCTGCAGTTCCGACATCCCATATGGGGGCCGGTTCACATCCCAGCTGCTCCACTTCCAGTCCAGATCTGCTATGGCCTGGGAAAGCAGTAGAAGATGGCCAAGTCCTTGGGCCCCTGCACCCTCATGGGGGATCCAGAAGAAGCTCCTGGCTTTTGTCTTTGCATCAGTGCAACTCCAGCCATTTTAGCCAATTGGGGAGTGAACCAGCGGATGGAAGTCCTCTCTCCCTCTCTCCCTCTCTCCCTCTCTCCGTCTCTCTCTCTGCCTCTTCCTCTCTGTACTCTTTCAAGTAAGTAAATAAATCTGTTTTAAAAATGCCTACATTGATGCCCATTTTGGAGGTAAAAAGAGACCCTATGAAATTAGGAAAACAAATGGTAAAGAAATTGGAACTCAGAGGCTAATCCTCAGCCTGCGGTGCCGGCACACCAGGTTCTAGTCCCGGTCAGGGCGCCGGATTCTGTCCCGGTTGCCCCTCTTCCAGGCCAGCTCTCTGCTGTGGCCCGGGAGTGCAGTGGAGGATGGCCCAAGTCCTTGGGCCCTGCACCCCATGGGAGACCAGGAGAAGCACCTGGCTCCTGCCTTCAGATCAGTGCAGTGCGCCGGACATAGCGGCTCTGGAGGGTGAACCAACGGCAAAGGAAGACCTTTCTCTCTGTCTCTCTCACTGTCCACTCTGCCTGTCAAAAAAATAGCCCTTGAAGAAAGGATTCCTACACTGATATCAGAAAGATCATAAATATGAAGGTTCCTCAAAACGTTTGTGGAAAAATAGAATTGAAATTTTGAGCTTAATTGGGTGAAAAAAATGTTTTGGTGGTAATTTTTTATGTCCATTGTAAGAAAACTATTCATGAACTTCAAAATTTCTCTTGCACAAAATAAACATTAGATTCCATTTTCCATGAGCTAGTCATGCTAGAAAAATGATTCCTCTATAGACCCTTAGTGTCATCATGACAGCTTGTCAATCTCCCCTCTGACGCTAGGTGGCGGTCTATACCCACCTAAAACAACTCCCTCTTTCCTGAGCCCCAACTCTGGAAGACACAGCTTCAGTCTCTTGCGCACTTAGCAGACGCCAAGCTCCTTCCGTGGAGGAGCTCCTGTCACTCCTGGAGGAGCCCGTGACGGGAGTTCCCAGATCCCCACGCGTGGGGAAATCGAGCCTCAGACAGGTGATGTGGCTGCCCAGAGCCCTGCTGCACGAAGAGCTGTGGTATGACTTGTTCCTTCTTTCTCCTTCTTCTTTTTTTAAATTTATTTCTTATGTTTTACTTTTGAAAGGGTTCGGGGCCGCCACTCGGGCTCGCGTCCTCGGCCGCGGTGGAAGTCGGGCAATGGCGGCGGGGGCGGCTCACCTGGACGCCCTTCTCCTCAGGGCTGCTGTGGACTTGGCGGGTGTTGTGGATCCTGCGGGGCGCCCTTTGGGCTGCGGGCCGGCTCCCTCTAGGCTTTGTATTCCTGAGGCCCACAGGCGCAGGCCCGAGGTCGGGGGTGGTCCTGTGCGTGGGGGCGCTCAGGCAGGGACGGCCCCGCAGGCTGCGGTCCCGGTCCCGGCTCCTGGTCCTTAGCTTTGCGGGCCGAGCTCCAGGCAGGCGGTGGAGAGGACGCTGCCATCCGATGGCGGCGGTGCCCTGTTAAACTTGGTGTGTCCCTGGGCCGGGTGCGGGGTGCATCTATCCTACACCTTCTCTTTTTGAGAGGCCCGACCTGCACCCTATGTGAGTCATTTCTGCGGGGCAGGGACGCCATCCTCGGGAGTCCTGAAGACTCCAGGAGGGCTGGAATCCTGTTTGGGATGCATTTAATCTGTGGGGAGTAGGCGTTCTCTGCTGAGCTTGCTTTTTCTTGGGGATGGTCGGGCTCTTCCCTGGGGATCGGGATAAAGGCCTGCACAGGTGAGGCTTGGGAGCAAGGAGCTGCTGAGCGCCCCATAGGTGTGGTGGAGCCCAGCGCCTACAACAGGCAGGGACCACTGCCCCGGCCCGCAAGGTGGGCGGCAGATTTCCAATGTCGGAGTTTTCACTATGTTGGAAACACCAAGGCCCTGGACAAGGCTGGAGTACCGAGGGCAGATTATACGTACAAGCATCGTGCTTTCTGTACTCTTTTGCAATCCAAGCCCAGTGCCAGGCAAGACACCCACCAGACTTCCTCCAGCAGCCAGTGGTAGGATGGGCGGGCCTGGAGCTGGCTGAGAGCCCAGGTGGCCAGCCTGAGGGGGAGGTCTGGGTGCAACAAGGTCACTGTCACTGCCAGCACACAGGCCAGCACCGCCAGACCAGTGAGATTGACAAGCATGAAGCTGGCCAGGAGCTCCAGCACAGATGAGGTTAGGAAGGCAGAGTGGCTGGGAGGGAAGAGACCACTTATCTCTAAAGGGAAGGCAAGCTGGGCTCCAGGAGACATCCCAGCCTTGTAAGCCTAGTGTGGTGTCCCAAGGCCAGGCAATGGGTCAGAGGAGGAGACCGGGAAGGGGTGGCAAAGGATGGGGCTGGGGTCGGGGTCGGGGCCGGGACCCAGGCTGGGGCAGTGTGGGGGCGGTGTAGGCTGGGCGCTGGTCCAGCAACGCAGGTGTCCCTGTCCCTACCTGGTCCCTGTCCCGTTCCTGGCGCTGTGCGTGGCGCCCAGAGGGAGTCAGTCTCCGCAAACCCAACCTCCTACTCCTCTGGGCGCCACCATCTTGTGTCTGAAGGGGTGGGGCAAAAGGCGTGACAAGGAGAGGCGCACGACGAACTCCGGCCAATCGGTGGGGCCAACCTGAGGGTCGCCAGCTGTCATTGGTCCGTTTGAACAGCGCTCAAATGGGAGGGGGCGGAGGCGTATTAAAATCTCGCCCCAGTTGGCAGGGTGATCCCTCCAAGGACATGCAGCATTGAACAGGTCCCAGCCTAGCCCCGCCGCCTAAAAGAGCCGGAACTTGGACTTGGCTAAAATCGGATGCCCTTCTTCCTCCTAGCCCGGAACCTGAGCTCCACAGGCTGCGGTCGGGGCTCCTCCTAGGTGTCCGGACCGGGCTCGCCGCCTGCTCTTCCTCACTCCATTCCTGGGTCCTGTCAGTGACGCCACGCCTACAGCGCGCAGTTCACACAAGGAACAGAAACACTGCCTGTTTCCAGCCGCTCGCGAGGCCAACATTGTCCCGGAGGTTCCACACTGCTGGTCCCAGCTTGCTTCTCCAGGTTTTTCCCGAATTCTCGCAGGATCTCCTGGTCCACAGACGGGAGGCAGCTCAGCTCCCTAGTGGGCGCCCAGCACTACATGCGCTCTAACTGACGCTGGGGGTCTGCGCCCGGTGGGCTCTGGGCTCCGTCAGAAGCTGGCCATTTCTTAGATAATAGCCCAGACATGTTTGAGACGGTGTCCCGAATACAAGTCTGCTGAGAATCCCTGCGGGTTCTGCGTCAGCCCTCCGATGTTCAGCTGCGCCTTGATCAGCTTCCCAATGTCTGCTACATCAGACTGCAGAATTTCTACCCCCAGTGTGTCCAAGCTCTGAGCACAAAATGCTGATTTCTCCGAACAAAGGAAAGTAGAAGAAACACGAGTTTTGTCCATCGTCTGGATGGTGGTTATTGCTGCTGATGTTGTTATTGTCCCCCTAGACATTCTTTCCCCAATTCCTTTATTTAAATAAAACTTATTAGTCATTTTCACTTGAAAGGTAAAGAGACAGAGAGCAAGATCTTCTATGTGCTGGTTCATGGGGAGCCTGGAACTCAATCCCAGTCTCCCCTCCTGGCTGGCAAGGACCCAAGTACCTGAGCCATCCCCTGCTGCCTCCCAGGGTGCACATTAGCGGGAAGCCAGACTGGAAGCAGAGGCGTCAGGACTTGACCAGGCACTCCACTCTGGGATGCAGGCACGCTGGGCGGCAAATGCCCATGCCCCTGCCCCCAGTTGCACATCTTGGGGAACATGCGCTCCTTCCTTCCCAGATTCTGATCCCAGCAGCCTTACCCTCTCCTCAGGATTCTGACTTGCCTAGCGAGCTGATGCCACAGACGGCTTCCACCCCCAGCCCGCTCAGAGACATTGCCCTTCCCATCTCCTTTCTGTTCCGTCGTAGCCTCCTCTCTCCTGTGCAAGTGGATCTCTAAATCTGTATCTTCAGCCTGAAGCTCTCTTGCAAAGTTGAGGTTGCAACAGCTCCCCGGGGCATGGCCGCTCCTGGATGCGCCTGGTGCATCATGTGTCTGCACTTGAGCAAATAAGCAGCAGATCTGCACACCAGGAAGCGTGCAAAGGCCGTCTCTGTGTTGGTGGGACCCTCTACGAGAGGATTTCCATCAGCTGTAGACCCAGACCTCCCCTTGCAGTGAGCTGGGATTTTGCAAATGCAGAGCCACACTTTTTTTCTTGGAGAGCCAGAGGGGAGAGAGAGAGAGCACACTCCCACCCACTGGTTCACTCCTCAAATGTTCCCAGGAGTGAACAGGAGCTCAGTCCAGGTCTTCTGATTGCTTGGGTTTCGACTTAGATTCTTTCTTTCTTTCTTTCTTTCTTTCTTTCTTTCTTTCTTTCTTTCTTTCTTTCTTCTTTCTTTCTTTCTTTCTTTCTTTCTTTCTTTCTTTCTTTCTTTCTTTCTTTCTTTCTTTTTAAGATTTATTCATTTAGTTGATAGGCAGAATTACAGAGTGTGAGGGAGAAACACAGAGAGAGAGGGCTTCTATCTGCTGGTTCACTCCCTGAATGGCTGCAACAACGAGGGCTGGGCCAGGCTGAAGCCAGGAGCCTGGAGCTTCTTCCAGGTCTCCCAGCGGGTGCGCGGGCCTAGCACTTGGCCCATCTTCTGCTGCTTTCCCAGGTGCATTAGCAGGGAGTGGGGCAGCTGGGACAGAGCTGAGAGAGACAAAGGTATCTCCCTCTGCCTCTCAAGTAGATAAGGATAAATATAAACACTAAAAAAAAAAAAAGAAGAAGAAGAAGAAGAGGAATGTGACACTGTGGTGTAGCAAGTAAAGCCACCACCTGCAATGCTGGCATTCCATATGGGTGCCAGTTCATGTCCCGCCACTCCACTTCTGATGCAGCTCTCTGCTGTGGCCTGGGAAAGCAGTAGAAGATGGCTCAAGGCCTTGGGCCCCTGCACCCACATGCAAGACCCGGAAGAAGCTCCTGGCTCCTGGCTTCGGATCAGCACAGCTCCGGCGGTTGTTATCAGCTAGGGAGTAAACCAGCAGATGGAAGACCTCTCTCTCTCTCTCTGCCTCTCCTCCTCTCTCTGTGTAACTCTGACTTTCAAATAAATAAATATATCTCTTTAAAAATAAGAAGAAATCAATGTAGTATTTACAGTAGCAGCTGAGGAACATTTTGCAATTTTGCTTCCTATTTCTAAAAATTTGTAAACATGAGGGTCTAGATGAAGTGTGCTTGCATATTTAACTGGTCTCAGCCCTGATGTGACTTAAGGAAAGAATCGAGAGAAGAAACTACTTGCAGGCCTGTGTGAACCTGCAAGGCAGCACGTTAAGCCCCCCAGGGTGGGGCACCAGCTCCCATCTGATCTGGCTCCCTGCTAATGTGCCAGGGAAGTCACTGAAGATGGCTCAACTGCTTGGCCCCTGCCACCCATGTGGGAGACCCAGAGAAGTTCCTGGCTCCTCTCCCTCTCTCCTTCTCTGTCACTCTGCCTTTTGAATTAATAAATAAATCTAAAAAAGATCCCACTTATACTTTGATTTAAAAGATTGTCAAAGGCGAGTCTATGACAGTGACACCGGTGTGATTGGTTATATAAAGAGGAATGGGACAGAATTTTGGTCAAAAATTCAGAAGCACGTTTTGTGTCACATGCCCTCCATAACACACCGAACTTGGTAGGAGACATGGCCTGAGTGTATAGTGACGGCATCCTTTGCCAAAGTAAAAGGATTACATGTAATGTTCTGGATCTGGCCAAAGAAGGAACATCGTAGAGAAACCTCTCTATCCCAGGGCCAGTGCTGTGGCATAGTGGGTAAAGCTGCCACCCAGAAATGCTGGCATCCTACAATGGTGCTGGTTTGAGCCCCTGCTGCTCCACTGCCAGTCCAGCTCCCTGCTAATGTGCTTGGGAAAGCAGCAGATGGCCAAGTCCCTGGGCCCCTGTACCCACTCTGTACCCTGGAAGAATCTCCTGGTTCCTGGCTTTGGGTCAGTCCAGCTCCAGCAGTTGCGGCCATTTAGGGAGTGAACCAGCAGATGGAAGACCTCTCTCTCTGTCTCTCTTTAATTCTGTCTTTCAACTAAAGAAATAAATTTTAAAAAAAAAGCAACAAAGAAAGAAAGAAAAGCCTGTATCACACGTGACTTCATAACCACTTTTGGCTTCATAAAGGGAATGCTGGCCACATGCAGTTGAATCAAGTCGATTTACTTTAGACAAGAAGGCACCTGAAGAATAAGAAGAGTTCAGCCAAACAACACATTTGAAAATCATGGTCTCAACCAGAAAATAGAACTATTCTTGAATGTGTCCTGCCCACTGATACTTATTAGTAGTAATATTGACGAGTGGAGTTTAAGTTGGGTGTTTACTTTTGTAAATAAGAGATACACCAAGATGGATCTGTTGTTATTACCTGGAGTCCAAGGCTTAAATTGTGGTTCACTGGGGACGTGTTGTCCAGTCCATGGTCTGGTCAAGTGCATAATGACACCCGTCTACCATTATAGAATCCTACAGGATCGTTCACTGCCCCCAAATCCTCAGCACTCTGCCTGCTCCTCCCCTCCTCACCCTAAACAACCAGCAACCTCAGATCTGTTTACCACATCTCTCCTAGAACGCCTTAGGGTTGAAGTCACAGTATGCGACCTGATTCTCAGATTTCACATGGCATTCTCTCGCAGAGCAATATGGATTCAAGTTCTCCCCATGTCATTGCTAGCCCATGACTTTTTCAGGGCTGAATAATCTCCCACCATTTGGGTCTACCAGTTCACCATCCATTCAGCTGTTGGAAGACACCTTGGGTATTCCCAAGTTTGCGCAATTCTGAATAAAGCTGCTAGGAACATTCTTGAGTATTTGTATGGACATAAGTTTTCAATTCATTTGTGTAAATACAAAGGAGCAAGATGACAGCTTCATATGGATAATGAAGGAATGCTTGATTTTGTAAGAAATCATCAAACCGTCTTCTGAAGCGGCTGCACCAGGTTGCATTCCCACTGGCAGTGAGTAAGACTTCAGTTGGGCCACATACTCACTCACCTTTGGTGGTCTCCATGGTTTGGCTTCTGGTCATTCTAATAGGCAAGGAGTAGTGTCACACTATTGACCTAATTTGCAGTTCCCTGATGCCATGTGGTGTGGGCATTGTGATGTGTGATTGTTCACCATCCATATATCTTCTTTCCTGAGGTCTTTGGCCCATTCTTAAGCTGGGTTTCTTGTTTTGTCATAATTGAGTCTGAAGCGCTCTTTGTATGTTTTGGATAATAGTCCTTTTCCAGATATGTGTTTGCTTTTCTGCCCTGCACACAACTAAGAGCTCTGTCCCTTTAGGACAGCTCTGAGAAACTAGTCACTCAGGGGGGTGGTCCTGATAACCATGTAACTTTGCAGAGGCATGGCAAGTATGGCGTGACCACCTGCTCAAGCAGGAGCCCCCACAGCCCCAGTTCTGTGCCGGGAGCATTGTGAGCAGCAAAAGAGCTGTGATCCATCTTGGGGGAACATGCATGTAACCTCCCATCTAGAAATATGGTCATTCACTAAGCCCCACCTCCCCTTCTCAGGAACTTGGAAGAGAAGCTGACCAGGGGTGGAGGAAGGGCCGCATGCCAGTTTCCTTGAGGTGGAGGCAGGGGTCCTGTCTTCTCCAGGAGGCCTCCAGCCATCAATTCAGCTCCCCCAGCTTTGTGCGGGTGGCCTTATAGATGGTCAAGGTGCTAACATGGGTTTGGGGAGGGTTGGGTGCTACCAAGGGCCCTACTGACCGGAACACCTCACAGAGAATTCCAGGCACCTGGCCTGCCCCGTCCCCTACTGAAGCCGGGCTTCACACTGGGTGGGCTGGGAACAAAGCAGCATGGACATACTGCTCCCCTCCACATACAGCTGTTGGGCTGCAGAGCAGGTGGATCCCATACCCCAAGAGATCAGGTGCATGGCCCTCGGGGTAATGGGGTAGTGTTCTCCCTTGACAATGCAGGAGATGTTGGATGCGGACACTGACAACTCTGTTGCAAAGCACAGCTCTGTGGACTGGGACCTCCCTGCTGGGCCAGAGACCTCAGACCCCGACCCTCATGTGCCTGTGCCATGTGGACGCTGAGACTCTCCGTCCCTCTCCCCGGCCCAGCCTCTGGGAGGCGTCACTCTCTGCTCTACTTCTATGAGGTCACCCCTTCTGTGATCCCCAAATGGGTGAGATCGCCCAGCATTTGTCTTTCTGTGAGAGCCGCCCGTCTGTACCTCCATCACCTCTGCAAGGTGCACACAGGGACCCAAACGTCACACGGGACCAAAGCCATGCACACATGGTGAATTTTATTCATGAGAAGCATTTTCAAATGCTCAAGAAAAACGTTCAGTCAGCTCAGCCTGCGGATTGCTCCTGGTGACGGGGGCTGAGTGAGGCTACTGGGGGACCACTCTGCAGCAGCGGAGGCCAGGGCCGCTCCTTCGGGACCGCAGGACGCAGCACGCCCTCCGCAGGAACCCGAGGATCCTCCTGCCGACCCCGCGCCGGCCCTGCCTCTTGCCCTGGGCGCTGGCTGTGGTGCCTGTGGTGTCAGCAGTGGCTGCGGTCCCAGCCTCCTCGGGCTCACAGGCTGCTGCAGCATCTTCTGTCTCAGCAAGGTCCACAGGGCTCCTGGCACTGGGGCTGGAGGGCAATGCCTTGGAGGCTGGCTCAGGGGCTGCGCTGGGAGCAGGGTTCCGCTCCTGCTGTGGCTGGCCTGGTAGGAGAGAGTCAAGAGTGGGGTCTCCACGTTGGGCCTTGGGCTCAGCTCCTGGAGGCACCGAGGTGTCAGGGGCTGTGTGGGGAGAGGGGACAAGACTCACTGGAGGCCTCGGAGGAGTCGGGGGCTGGGCTGAGAGCTCGGCTCCGCTCCTGCTGTGGCTGGCCTGGTAGGAGAGAGTCAAGAGTGGGCTCACCTTGGGGGCTTTGGGCTCAGCTCCTTGAGGCCCTGAGGTGGCAGGGGCTTTGTGGGGAGAGGGGGCAAGACTCACTGGAGGCCTCGGAGTAGCTGCTTTGTGCGGAGGAAACGTAGTCCACGGCCATGCTGTCACAGGACACCGACACCAGAGACAAGCTGTCGTCCTCCATGGGGTGGCGCTCGCCACAACGTGAGGACTCGGGCAGGGACACGGGGCTGTGGGCCTGAGGGCCTGGCTGCCCCTCGGTCCCCTTGCCTGGCAGCAGTCCGAGGCCCGCCAGGTACTCCCTGGCCTCTGGGTCCCGGGGAACGCTCAGGGGCTGCAGCAGGGTGACCGCGTCCTCCTCGCCCTCCTGGGCGGCTTCTCGGCCGGGGCCGAACCACCAGTGGGTCCTGGCTTCCTCCGCACTCGGCCTCCCCGAGGCGTCGATGGTGAGCAGCCAGGCCAGCAGCTCCTGCAGGGCCGGGCTGACGGTACACGGCAGCACATAGCAGGCACACAGCACCGTGTCCTGCAGCTCCTCCGTGTCCTTGCCGCGGAAGGGCAGCGTGCCCGCCAGCATGGCAAACAGCACCACCCCCAGGCTCCAGACGTCTGCCTTAAATGCGTCGTAGGCCTCCCCGAGGAAAACCTCTGGTGCGCAGTACTCGGGGGTGCCCCAGAAGCCCCTTACCAGCGTGCCCTGCTCCAGCCTCAGGCTCAGCCCGAAGTCTGCCAGCTTGATGTTCAGGTGCTCGTCCAGCAGCAGGTTGCCCAGCTTGAGGTCCCGGTGCGCCACGTGCTGGGCATGGCAGTAGCTCACGGCGGCCAGCACCTGGCGGAAGAGGGCCCTGGCCTCGGCCTCGGCCAGGCCTCCCTGCTCCAGCACGTAGCGCTGGAGCGAGCCCCTGGTCGCCAGCTCCATGACCAGGAACAGGTGCGTCCTCGTGTGCCGCTCCTCCAGCAGCCGCACGATGTTGTCGTGCCGCAGGCTCCTCAGGATGGCCGCTTCCCCCTGCGCGGACAGCGCGCTGCTGGGAGAGCAGTCTCGCAGGAGGATCTTCACCGCCACGTACTTGCCCGACGCCAGGTGCCGGGCCAGCTTCACCAGGCCGCAGCCGCCCTGGCCGATCACCTCCACGAAGCGGAACCCGTCCAGGGGAGGATGGAAGGCCATGCTGCCGGCCACCTAACTACACTCTCTCGACTCCCTAAATCACGCGATGCACACTAGCTAATCACCGACCCTCACTGCACTACCTACAACACAAAGGGACCACGGGGGACTGACTACCCAGCTGACTAAGACACAGCAGCAGCTACACTCACTACTCTAAAGGCAAAGCCGCTAGACTATCTCAATAAAACAGAACACAACAAAGAGGAAAAGCCGCTAAATACTCTAATGCTGATGCTTCTGATCGTGCTAGCTGACTAGAGTGGGGGAAGCAAAAATAAACAAAAACTGCAAAAAAAGACCCACTGGGCAAAACAACAACGAGGAGGAAAACAACAAACTAAACAAAATGGGAAAAAGCAACAACCAAATAGACCCAGAAACAAACAACCAAGAAAAAGCACAAGCAACACCAACAAGCAGAAACGCTAGTTAGAGGGGTCCTAGTTACACAGATCACAAAAGAGTGCTCTCTGGGTAAGGCGGACGAAAATCTAGGCCCCCGCCGCCGCTATATATACTTTCTGGGGGCTCACCTCACATAGCAGCGCCTTGTGAGATCAGAGCAAGAAATGGACCAATCACAGCCCAGCCAGGGACTGAGTAATAATACGTCTTTCATAACAGTGGTGCCTTATGAAGTCAGAGCAAGAAATTGACCAATGGGAGCTGTAGTTCATCCACAGTGGTTTTCTCGAGAATCTGCCAATTAAATAAAAACGATACCCGGATACCGGAGAATCTGTGGCCTAGGTTGGTGATAGAGATTGATACTTAATATTTGAGAAACTCCAACCTGTAGATTGCTTCCGTGGCCTTCTCATTTCTGGTGTAAATATGATAATAAGTGTGTCTTTCGAAGACCTCCTAGTGTCTCCACGTAGTATATCCCCTCCTCTCCTTTACCCACTGAGTGATGTGTCTCAGAATGATGGAACAATCTCTCTGGCCTCGGTAAACTGGACAAGTGTTCTGTTGCCCAAGACACCATCAGGTACACAGTTCCCATCTCCAGAGCTGAGAGGAAGGTGGCTTTGTCACCCTTTTCCCCTAAGTCATCATCAGATTTCTCGGCAGAAACCCTGGAAGCCCAGAAGGTAGTGGGGTCCATGCAGTCCAAACATGGAAGGCCTAATCAGTGGCAGCCGAGAAAGCTACATCCCCCCAGACGGTCCTCTGCCTAGGAGGGAGGAATCGAGGCACTCCCAGACACTTGGGGATTGTGGGCTCCTGTAACAACAATGACCAAACTCCTGCCTCCTGGCTTCAGCCTGGCCAAGGCCTGGTGGTCATCTATGGGGTATATCAGAGGATGGAGGAGCTCGCTCTCTCTCTCTCTCTCTCTCTCTCTCTCTCTCTTTCTCTCTGACCAGCAATCTCTTTCCCCTGTTCACTCTCACTCAAATAGAATACAACTTAGAAAAAAAAGAGAGACTCCCTGCTTCAACTCCTCAGGACGTGCACAGCCTAGAAATGACGAGTCGATGGCTACATCACAGCATCGAATCTAGCTCCTTGGGACATCATCGTGCTGAACCCCAGGGCCAGTGTTTCTCCCGAGGAAGCAAGAACTTCATCTCAGGTAGGAAACGAGCCCGGTAATCCCCGCCCCCACACAGCAAGTGGATCGGTGTCTCCTGCAGTTCTTGAGGAGCCCCTAGGGCCCAGCACAGTCATGGGCCCCAGGAACAAGTAGTGGTCCCTTGGCACCGACTGTCCAAGCCTTCTTGGGAGAGAAACCCTCCCTGGGGAGATGACCCCTCCTTTAGGAAGCCCAGGGACATTGGGCAGTGTGATTTCCTGCAGTGCTGGTCTCTCCCTCAAGGCTAGGAGGAAAGAACCAGCACCCCAGGAATTCTCACTACAGTTTTATTAAATAAGCTGAAAAAACAATAGAGTATGAGAATTTGGGGACTGTTTAGCATAGAGCTCAGGTGAAAGCCCATCTCACTTAAAAGATCTGAGTTGTCTTTAGAGGCTTTTTGTTTTTATTGAGTTGAAAGGCAGAGTTACAGAGAAGCAGAGGCAGAGAGAGAGAGAGAGAGAGAGAAAGAAAAAGAGAGAGAGAGAGAGAGGTCTTCCATCTGCTGGTGCACTCCCCAGAGGGCTGCAACAGCAAGAGCTGGACTGATCAGAAGCCTGGAGCCAGGAGCTTATTCCTGTCTCCCCTGCCATCTTCTACTGCTTTCCCAGGCACTAGCAGAGAGCTGGGTCACAAGTGGAGCAGCCAGGCACCAAACCAGTGTCTCTATGGGATGCAGCACAGCAGGCTGCAGCTTTACCCATTATGCCCCAGCAATGACCCCAGACGTTTGACTTTTCTAAGGCAGATAAATAAAGATGAAACACAGGGTACTTCCAAAATTTCACGGAAAATATACAATTCAAAGCTTATTTAGGTAAAAAGCAGTTTTGAACCTGTGATAATTTTTGTTTAACAAAGTTCTACTGTGAACTTTGGCAGCAAACATGCTGTCCTTTAATTCCTTTTCCATGAGGTTTTCCAAGCCCCTTCAGGTAACCCATTTGAGGAAAAACTGTTCCCATACATTCTGAAAAGCAGCACCCGTAAGGACGAGAGACACCACCAGCTCTCATTCTCATCGCTCCTCCCCAGTGCTGGTGGGAGCCTTGCAGACCCACCTGGTTCTAGAAATCCATCTCCCCAGAGGTGTGTGATGGCCCTGAGGACTCTGTGTCCCCCGGCTCTTCTCAGCAGTAGCCTGAACTTGCTGTGGAAAGCCCTATCTTGTCCAAGCTGGACTAAAAGGAGGGGGCAGAATCTGTGTGGGCACTGCCTCAAGAATTCAATTCATGTAAATCCCAAAGGAAACTCCTAAGAAAATGTCTTATTAGACTGTTTTTATTTTTAATATTTATTTGAGGGCAGAATGAAAGATACAGGGAGACAAACATAAACACACACACACACACACACACTGAGAGAGAGAGAGAGAGAGAGAGAGAGAGAGAAATTGTCCATCCATGGTTCACCTGCCACACCCCACACAAATGGCTACCATGCCTGGACTAGGCCATCTGAAAGTAGGTACCCAAATTCCATCCAGGTCTTCCCAGAAGGAGGCAATGCCCCAGGTGATTGGACCATCTTCCTCTGCCTTCCCAGGCATGTTAGCAGGGAGCTGGATCAGAAGCAGAGCAGCCAGGACCCAAACCAGCCTCCCAATATGGGATGCCAGTGTCTCAGGCAGCAGCTTTACTGCTATGCCACAGTGCTGGGGCCCAGGGTTCTTTAAGATTTATTTATTTGAAAGGTCAAGTGTCAGAGTTTGATCTTCTATTCTCTGCTCACTCCCCACATGGCCCCTTTGGCAAGGGTGAGCTGGTTTCAAGCCAGAATCTAGGGGGCTGTCACTGTGGCATAATGGGTTAAGCCAGCGGTGCAGTGCTAGCATCCATTTGGGTGCTGGTTTGAGTCTCAGCTGCTTCACCCCAGATTCAGCTCCCTGCTAATGGGCCCAGGAAAGCTGCAAAAGATGGCCCAAATGTTTAGGCCACTTCTCCCATGTAGTAGACCCGGAAATCTCCTGTTCCAGGCTTTAGGCTGGCACAGCCTTGGCCACTGTAGCTCTTTGGGAAATGAACCTACAGATGGAAGATTCTCTCTCTCTCTCTCTCTGTTTGTGTGTGTGTGTGTGTGTGTGTGTGTGTCTCCCTGTATCTTTCATTCTGCCCTCAAATAAATAATGACTTTTGGGGTCATTGCTTTGGCATAATGGGTAAAGTTGCAGCCTACTGTGTCGGCATCCCATATGGACACTGGTTTGAGCACTGGCTGCCCCACTTCTGATCCAGCTCTGTGCTATGGCCTGGGCAAGCAGTAGAAGATGGCCCAAGTCCTTGGGCCCCTAGACCCACATGGAAGACCTGGAAGAAGCTCCTGGCTTTGGATGGGACCACCTCTGGCCATTGCAGCCATTTAGGGAGTGAACCAGTGGATGGAAGACCTCTCTCTCTCTCACTCTCTCTCTCTCTCTCTCTGCCTCTCTGTAACTCTGCCTTTCAAATAAATAATCTTTAAAAAATATCTTAAAAAATAAAAATATTAATTACTCTGTCTAGACTTTTTTTTTTGCATCCTTTGTGTTGTAACAATGTGGTCTGAGGTTCAGAGAGAAGAGTAGCATCTAAGCCTGTGATTAGACTTCTAGTGAGCCTGAGGCCTTGGCCTGCGACCTCCACGTCCATGCTCCAGTCTCTCTTCCCTGGGTGAGACAAGAGGACAGAGGAGAGCAGAGTTGGGACACATCTCTTCTGACACGAGAAAGGCTAGAGAGATCTAGATCTATTTCCTGTCAGCAGCCGTAGAACCCCAGTTGGTTACTGTCTGCTAAGATGATGTCTCTTCAGAGCAGAGTTTTTATTGAGGAGGAGACTGGAATTCTGTGGGCAGAGGAGGGGGCCCTCAGCAAGTTCAGGAAATGCATGTTAGGAAACAAGGAAGCAAGGGATTCAAAGTTCTGTCACCAAAATAAACAATTCTTTCATCCCATTTCTCAACAAACTTTTGGAAGTAACTTTGTATTTCGTAAGGGTTGCATTTTCCCTCCCCCTTGAGCTGGAAGTCTGGAGGTATTTTCCTCTGATTTCACCCTGAGCAGCTGGTGGGGGCTGATGGAGGTGAAAGTCATGGAAGCCTGAGGGACTCCATGAGCTGGCTCTCTGGGTGTTAACCCTCAGGCTTCCTCACTAAGCCCACAGCAGTTCACCAGCCACCCTCTGAGTTTCCTACCCACATCTCAGCTCCGGCAGAGGCCTCTGCTCTGTGAAGCTGTGATTGTCTGCATTTGCCAGTCATGCCAGTGCTTGGAGAAGTGTTTTGCCAATTGGTTTATTCTCCGAGGGATCAAAGGAGAGTGGTTGATTTTCGGTGTGACTGGCTGTTCCCCTTTCTGTGATGCCGGCAGTGTATATGTTGGCACACAGACGGGAAGGCTTTTGGTGCCCTCTTTTACACTGGAAATTGAACTTTACTTGTTTCTTCTTGCAAGTAGCTCCTTCCCCAGCCCTTTTCTTGAACAGAAGCAGAGAGATGTTCTCAGGAAGTCCTCCTCTTTTGGAAAGGCAGGATGCCACAAATCGCTCGGGAATAAGGTGCTTCCTAGAATCAACGTTGTGTCGGTCACAGAGCAGCAGTGAGTTTTCGTTTCCTGGTCTTCCTGGCCAGTGGGTTTTGATGCCAGGCCTGTCCTCCCAGGCTGAGATGTGGATGCAGGCGATTTGCCTAAGATCCAAAAACTTAGTGTCTGGAGTCAGAAAGCCCATGGGCCAGAAGGAAGGGAAAGAAAATCCACTTCAGCTCGATGACCAAGGACAACTTTGATTTTAGGAGGTGCCTCACTCCTGAGCGATTTGTGGCATCTTACTTGCAATGTTTATTTTTCAGTTATTTTCACCTCCTTGAAAGGTAGAGTACAGGTACTTGGAGAGAATGAGAAAGAGATGGAAGAGAGCTTCTATCCCGTGATTTACCCTCCCCCACCCTCCAAATACCTACAGCAGCCAGGCCTGGGCTAGGGCAAAGCCAGGAACCCCAAGCTCCATCTGGTTCTCCTACATGGGTGGCAGAGATCTGAGCACTTGGAGCCATCATCTGCTGCCTCCCAGGAGGCATTAGTAGGAAGCTGTATTGGAAGCAGAGTATTCAGGACTCCAACTGGCATGCTGACATGGGATGTGGTTGGCCCAAGCAGCAGCCGAACCTGCTTTGCCACAGTATCCACCCACCATCCTACATTTAAAAAGGAGGAGGACTTTCTACGTACATCTTTCTCTCTCTCTTTTTGTTCAGGGAAAGGGGTGGTAAGGGATTATTTGAAGGAAAAACAACAAAGTTAGACTATAATTATACAAAAGGACTAACACACTTCCTGTTTGGGGACCAGTATATATGACATGTGGTGCTTATCATTCCCAGCAACACAACAGAAAAAAAAAACTTGAAAAATCAAAACTTCTTCTTTGATCTACCAAAAAGTTGAAATCGTGGGCAAACCAGTCCGCTAGACATTTTTAATCCCTGATCCAAAATGCAACGCCCTTTCCTTACCTGAAGCCCTCTGAAGGACCAGGGGGTCTCACAAATTAGTGTCCATTCTCCTGAAGCCCATGACCCAACCCACTGCCCTGCCCCCCACCATGAATGACCAATATTCTTGCTCAACTCCCAATGGCTCAACACCCCAAACATTCCAAGCCAACTGCCTATGTGACAGTTGCACCAAGAAGTAGCATTGCCTTCAACTGACAAAGCTGGGTCAGGAGCAGTTAGGAGTCATCAACGGGGACAGCAGCCTGCAGATCTAGGGCTCAGGTGGTGCAGTGCAGTCTACAAGCTCCTGTTGCCTTGTTGACCAAAGATAGCAGCAGCTGGAAGGCAGTCTGGCTGAGAAAG